TCAAATAAAACAAAAATTTGATTGTAATGAATCAACTGAATTTCAAACGTGAAAACATTTTTCTTTACCTCACGTCTGGTTAATGGAGGCGGAGGATCATCCTCGGACTTTGGTTGTTGTTGCTCCCTCATCATCGCCACTTGTTCATTTTCATCTTCTCCACTCTCAAGCAGTATCATCACTTTTCCAAATGGTCGACTAGCCATCGACTCCATCTGAATCAGTCTCTCCTGCTGGTTTCGATGCTGCTCCAGGCCTGACTTAGCTTTCCAAACGATGACGCAAAACGCGAGAACCAGAAAAAAACATGCCAGGAACACAGAAAAAAACACAAAGAGGTCAATGTGTAACTGATCTTGGTGAAAGTACATAATGCCCTGCGTTTTGTTATCGTAGTCGGATATCTTCCCAAGAAGAGTCACAAAGAACTTCCCTGTTTCTAACGGATGATCCATGTACGGGAAAGTTATCACTAACCGATTCTTAACATCAAACACAACAACTATAAACTTGGGAGTTTCCACAGTCACAAATGTATTCAATCCTCTAGCAGTTACTTCATAATATTTATAAGTATTTGAGTTTGTGTCACGCTTTTTCCGGTAACCCTCGCTTTCATACTGAACATTACCGTCAATGGATACTGTATGCATTCCTGTCGTTTTATTAACATCGATAATAAAGATACTGTGATTGAAGGTCACATAAGCATCAACTTTGCCATAGGTCACATCAATAGTCATCCGGATGTCCAAGTTCTTAAACTTTGGCTGTACGGCATAAAAAGATGACTGTCCATACGGGAGAGATTCCGATTTGATAGGACACTCTGAAAAACGACCATCACAATGTATTAAGATATGTTATGTCAACTTGCAAATGCATATATTTTTCCTTCATCTAAAAATATAATATAATAATCTACACACTGAACCTAAAACTCTAAAAGAAAACCCCCACAAAAACAAAAACTAGACTTTGTAGAAAGTTGCATTTTTGAGGTTCATGAAATATCTCCTTGGAAGAATCTCCCAACAGAATAATTAAACTCTATTAAGAAATAGTACAAAAATGATATATATTTATAACACTGTGGTTAACTTACCAGTCTGTGACCAAAAGCAGTAATCTTGTTCAACTCTCATTTCTAAGTAACACTGATGCCCATTGGTTGGTTCCCCAACATATCTCTCGTTACACTTTGAACACTATAATGCAGTATCAAATAGTATTGTAGATCTTTTGTGTAAATTATTAAGTAAAAATCACAGATTTCATTTTAACCAATCTAAAATCACAAGACATTTGACAGCATTTTCACAAGTAGTTACATCAATATGCAAATTTGGTATAAGTTTTGTAGATTAGTAAATCACATGTATGTGTAATCATTAAGGGAAAAGGTACACGCCTTGAGTGCTAATTTTCAAATGCTCATCATCAAATTCTGAGTTGCACAAGGAGAGCTAATTAAAACAGTTCCAAAAAATTGGTTTAAGAATACCTGTTAAACAATGGTGAAAACAATTAAGTAGTATACCAAAGATCTTATAATTACAAGATAGTGCTCTCCACGATTTACCCATAACAAACAGAAACATCAATGTTCAGTAAAAAGAAGCATAAGAGTAATCATTTTTGAGAGAGGGCGTCCTAGTTGTTGCCATGGTTGTTACAGAACTTGCACGCAGATGCGCTATCTTTAGTCAACAATATTTGATGTCAAAGTTGAAAAGTAATTCTTGTGTGAGGGCGCCATACACTACATGTTACAAAATTTACATGCAGAAATCGCGGAGAACACCATCTTGTAATTATAATCTTTGATATTATCCATGGTTCAAATCTGATGTTCATAATATCTAGGTTCTTAAAAGGTGAATTGTGATTGGCTCATTAAAGTGTTGTTCACAAAAATATTCTGAAAGCAGAAATGTAATTAGCTCCTAGGTTATCTTCAAGTTCTAAAAGGAGAAATGTTATTGGCTAGTAGGTGATGATCACAACAAAGTTCTTAAAGAAGAAATGTGATTGGCTGAGAGGTCATGATCATAACAAGGTTCTTAAAGGAGAAATGTGATTGGCAAATAGTTGATCACAACAAGACACTAATAGAGGTACTTGGCTCATATTTAATATTCACAGCAAGTTTCAACAAAACTGATGTCTTACCTGTTGTTCAATACAGGCCATGCTATCGGGGCACTCCGGCGTACGTGTGTTGTTGTCACATCTACAGCCAAGTCCCGTCTCCTTGTTACATGAAGCTGAGTGACCATTACATTTGCAGCTAAATGCAAAGTATGAATAAACAATGTTAATAATAGTCACTTTAAATACAATAATATTCTGTTTCAATTAGATAAACAATTATTTACCATGTAAAGTAATACCTGCTGCTATTTGAAATCGAATACCACATACTCAGTGCTGTTTGACACATAAAATAAGTTCATAAAAGCGAAGGAAAATCAGCTGCCAAAATCAGATTTTCATTCTTAACCAAGACCAAGTGACCAAGTTGGTTGAAGTATCTGCATAGACAGCAAGAGGGCTAGGTTCAAATCCATTTGCAGACTCCTCTTCTTTAATAGTTACAATTTATATATAATTATATTCAAAAAGCATAATAATAATAGTAATAATAAATATAATAATAAATATAATAATTATAATAATAATAATGAAAAAATATTAGTTTAGTGCAATAAAACTTTATGAGTCCTCAGATTGATAACCAGCTAAGTAAAATGTATTCAAATGATTTCTGAATCATCAGTTGTTACTACCGATTAAACATAAGTTGTCTACCCCCGATTTGACATCCTCATTCTTCTGATTGGAAGCCTACAACTTAACTGCTGCACTGCATGCGTCCACTTTGTGTCACAGCCACTCACCAAGAGTGGAAGCTCAAGATATTGTGATTTTTTAACATAATTAACAGGATTAATGTGGGTTTACTTTAATAAAGTTTAACTTCCATATACAGTAATGAAATATCATATATAAAGTTTTTTTTCTATAAACGGTACAAGGTTATATCTGTCTCTTATACACATCTAGATGTGTATAAGAGACAGATATATATATATATATATATATATTTCGTCAAATACAAGAGGAGGGCGAAGCCAAGGAGGAACAAGGTTCTTACAAAAGATTTGACATTACCGCAAGATGCTAAAAAGTATTTCTTCAGAGAGTTGTCATACTAAATGCTTAAGATGAGGGCATATCATATTGATCTACTATAAATAGTGCATAGAAATATATTATATCATTACAGAAAGTCTGTTAATTTGACTTACATTGTGCAATCGTCATTATATTTAAAATATCCATCGATGCATGTCTCACAGCTCCGCCCACTGGTATAACCGGTGCAGTTGACACACAAGGCATTCTTTAAGGGGCCATAAGTGAATGTGTTCTCAACCTGGAGGGTAGAAAGAGATGAGTAGAAAAGATGTTATATTTTATTAAAACATTAATTATAGGCTACAAGTCTCCTCCCTGATAATGATTAAGGAAATTTTTATCCGTCCAATTGAGGCTCATTAGTAAAAAAAAAAAACCTTGATATGTTGTAAAATGATGAGAATGAATATTTAAAAATTTTGGGAAAAGGTCGAAAAGAGGGTGATTACGCCGCTTTTCCTTCAGTTTTTGAAAATGCAAAATTCTGTATCTCATTACCTATTCCCAAGTTTTTCGTCAAACACCCTTATTGTGTTAAAATCATTTGTACAACATATAAAAACAATTTTTTCATCTGGAAACTAGCTAGTTTGAAAGTTCATTTTTTTTGTTAATATACAGTAGTATACTGAAGTGGTAGTCCCACATGACAATGTCAAAATTCTATTGTTCTCTCATTCATCCATATGAAAATGTAAACATCCTGGAATGCAAATAATTGAGGTGCAGCACTAATGACAGTTGGCCACTATTACTCAACCAATGATTAATGATGAGAACATATAGGACAGCCTCTAAAAGGAGGTCTTAGCCTTTTATCTACAAAATGTTTATAATACTGCTACAGTATGTAAATCAATAGTAACAACAATCACATGGACAAATGACTACTCTGAAAAAAAGGTGTAACATGAATATTTTTCAAAATTAAATCTATTCTTCTTACTACTTCTGGAGTTAAAGTCAATCTCGCATCCACTGTGGAGTTATACTCTCGTTCTGTCAAACATACATCTGTTTTCTTGTGACAATACTCTGTACAGCTAATGCAAGCACCGTGGTCACGGGGATCACCAACAAACAGAGGTTTGCAGTATTCACAATTGCTTCCCTGTTGCATAAAAAAACAAACAATCTCTTGGAATAAAGGAATTATCAAAATGCTTAATTTATCAACTTTCCATCAAATCGAAAGTATTTATATCTTGCTGACTTATAGAATATTTTAATTGTTTAATATAATTACCAACCAAGTTAAGGAAGTATGCACTGGGAAAATATTATTTGTGCATCTGTATTTCATACTTATCAATATTTTGGTTTATTGTATTTTATTTTACATAAATACTGTAGTTTCCCTTGTTCATCTTCATCTGTTTCCTTTTAATTTTCATATCTTTTCCTTTTTTCCTTTATTTGCATTTTCCTTTCTTTGTAAAATTACATGAGGCATACCATTGTGTTATTCTGACATAGTAGGCAGTCATTGACTCCTGCATCGTCACTTCCTGAACACTCGCTGTGCCCGTTGCAGTTACACTTAACGCCACAGTCACCACCAACAAAACCAAATTCACATTCGCAAACATTCGGCCTGATGCATTCGCCATGGACACAGCTTGGATCACAAACTGGTACGCATCTGCTGGAACTAATGAGAAAGTAGCACATTGCCAAAAAAATTAAATTGCATTTCAAAGAGAAGTTGTAGCTAATAACAAGAGAGCACACACAAACATCAGTTGTTACTACCGATTAAACATAAGTTGTCTACCCCCGATTTGACATCCTCATTCTTCTGATTGAAAGCCTACAACTTAACTGCTGCACTGCATGCGTCCACTTTGTGTCACAGCCACTCACCAAGAGTGGAAGCTCAAGATATTGTTATTTTTTAACATAATTAACAGGATTAATGTGGGTTTACTTTAATAAAGTTTAACTTCCATATACAGTAATGAAATATCATATATAAAGTTTTTTTTCTATAAACGGTACAAGGTTATATATGATAAAAACGAATAACAATCAAGCATACAAAAGTAAGTGGTAGCACCAGTGTGGGGTGGAGCAACCGGACAAACACAATTCCTTATGGATCTTACAGGGACTTTACCCATAGACTCTGAAGAATTCTGGTTGGCCATGGCCATTATAAACGCTACCAACTTATGCTCATGACAGAGACTTTTGCCATCCTGTCAGTTACATCGGCAACTATGGGACAAATTCTGGTGCCACTACTGACAGAATTATCATTTTACAGTCTCAAATTCTACATTTGAGTCAATAAAATGGCAGTTGATAGACCCAAGTTCTGACCTTGCTGGCTCGTATCCATCACTACATGTGCAGAGGTAAGATGTCTGAGTGTCATTACACTGCTGAGTTGCTCCACAATTATTATGACCATTCAGGCATTCATTTTCTGGCGGGCACTCCAAGAACGACCAACTTGTACCACTAACATTAGTGTAGTTTGACATATACTCTAAAAGAACATAAAAAAAAAAAATAAGACAGCGAATGAATGAATGTGATAGAACACTTCAACTGGGGCAATATTTTATATTTTTATACACAAGATTAATTATAACTCAATTTCTTGTACATATTATAGTGAATTAAAATACAGTACTATTATCTTCATCTAAATTTTGCATTAATTAAATATTATCAAGTAAATTTTAATTGTATTGTTAATTTTAATTCTAATGACCTATTTTTTTAAGGAATCAAATTTTATCATATTGTGAATTGTGAAAATTTAACTTACACTGTAGAATTTATTGTTTACTGTATTTTATCTTTTTTGTGATTTTTTGTAAATTTTTATCTTTGTAAGTAATTTTTATATTTAATACCTTTGCATGTATATACTGTATGATTGTATATTGATGTTCTTTGTTTTGTGAATGTTGTTTTGAATCAGCTTATCTTTTTGTTAGTTAGATACAATCCAGTGCAATGCTGCAATGTCAAATTTTATCCATAATATAATAAACCAGAATAAGTGAATTAATGAATCTTTTGTTTATATTCAGTTCATTTACTTTCATTTCCTATATTCACTAGACAAAAAAAAAACCTTCTAAAACATGTAGTTACATGTAACAAATTATAAATACATCAGAAAATAATTTATAAATAAATATTTACCTGGCAAATCTCCAGAAAATAAACTGATGGTATTGCCTTGGCAGACACCACCGGTTGGGCTAAACAAGCCCCCTTCCATGCACACTCCAACCCCATTCTCTCCTCCAACAGCACACCAGCCGCACCCAGGGCTAGTGATACAGTCTATACAGACGGTATTGATGTGGCAGGGTACCGGACAGAGGTCCGGACTCTTTGAAATGATGGCACCACAATCTCCTGATGCACAACGCAGCAGCATATAAGTTGGAGACAGACACTGCAAGTGAAGAAAATATTCAACACGAAGAATTAATAATCAAGTGAATAATCAAGTGAAAACATGTTGTTTCTCTTAACAGAATTTTCTTAAATTCTCTGTACCTCAAGTTACCATCGAGATGGAAAATCTCAGTTAAAAACATGTTGTTTCTCTTAACAGAATTTTCTTAAATTCCTCAAGTTACCATTCATCTTTAGGGAAAAAAAAGCAGATCTTTCACTGTTTCAACAACACAAATTTGAATTTTTTATATATATATTCATAGTTGTCTAAAAATATGCATAGCGTAATAGTAGGTAGGGAACACACTAACTAAATGAAAAACTAGACATGTGTGTGTAACCACAGATAATAAATAGCAGAAGACAGAGCAGCTTGGAGCATCTGTTCAAAAATGCATTCTAGGTACACTGAAAGCAATTTTACTCCTTCCGGGCAGCGGTGCTATATATTAATAATATTTGTACTTACTTCATTTAGCCACCTGCTCCAGGTACATTGCTTCCACCCTCCATCTGCTCCACTACTCTCCAAACATGTTCGGCAATCCGGATGCTTATGGCACCGCGTTGGGCATGCATCAGGCGGTGCACTTTGGAAGGTAATCGTTGGAGGAACTTGAACTTCGAGTGATTTTCGGAAACAATTCCATGTGGCAACAGGCTCTCTATATAACAACCGTAAGATCTCACCTAGAAATTAAGTATATAACAATTAAAAAACATTAATTTCAAACAGTGTCTGGAAGTGTTTCTATCATTTTATTGCTGTAACAATATGACTAAACATTTTTTATATACACTAATTTCTACAGTCAAGTTGATGTTTATTATTTTTTTTTTTTTCTTGGAAATTTGCATGGCAAAATACATTATAAGGTCCTGAGGTACTTTTTCCATATATTCTGAAAACGAGATGCGAGTCTCTTTGTGAGTTCTGTGCTCTCACATTGCCATATATCTGCAGGAATTCTGTCTGGACCAGGTGCTTTACTTTCTTTTGTTTTGCATCCCACCAGTCATTCTGCATCTTTCTGAGTGTACACTGAGTGTTGTGTTGTGCAGTTTCATACTTTTTTTTTCTGGCTATTGACATTGGGTGTGCTAGAAGGCTTGAGTGTGCATCATATTTTCCCCTAAGAAGTAGGTAGGGGAATGTTCTCGTCATTTTCAAAAAAACCAGTCTTGGTGCTTCTGGTACCCAAGATATTTTGCTGATGAATTATAGACTTACTCAGACAGATGTTTCCATTCTTCCAGCTCTTCGTAAAACCTTTCTTATAAAACCTTTCATGAAACCTACCCCCACTTCTCTGCATTCAGTAGGTTGGGGACCTACTCTTGGGCAAAGTGCGGCCGACTGCAATTTTTTTACGGCCCACGAAAATATATTAAAAACCAAGCAACATTGCCTAGAAAACACCTTCCTTTATGTGCCCTGACATCAATCGTATATAAAAAGTAACGATAACATTAAAACTGAAAATAAAGCAGTGTAAAAGCAGTGCTTGAAGGATTTTAGAAGCACACTGGAAACATCAAATTTTGGGTGCGGCCCTTGGTGCTAATCAAAAATTCACTTTGGCCCTCCCACCGAATTTTATGCCCATCCCCTGGTTTAAACCACAGCTGTGTAGCGATTAGTGTAAGGCATACACTTGTGGGTAATGTGTCGGATACTTTTTAAGGGGTCTTTACTCCTCCAGAGGCAGAACCTTGTTAGTTGTAACTTCTATGAGGAGGTTATGTTCCAGGAAGGACCAAGAATGACAAGCATGTGGGGAGGGGGGAATTGAGGTTGACATAGAGTTGACTGGGCTATAAGTCATGGAAGGAATGGTGCTACTTGAGCTGCATTTGTCTGCATGATACTATGGTAGAATGATGAAGCATGAGATGATAAATTGGAAAAAAGATGTGATGAATTCATAGAGCTAATTAACAACTAGAGTGCTGACTAGGCGACGAAGCAATGCAGAGTTGTGTATGTGTACCATCCAAGATGACACCCCTACCAAACCCACCCCCGCCCGGAGCCACACCCCTTGGCTCTCGTTGTGTGACAAGTTCGGACGACATATATATTTTTTTGGCTTAACTCCTACACTCGAGTTTCAACATAGCTGTATTCAAAATATTAAAGTTACGTTGAAATGATGCTTAGTGTATCATGAATGGCTGAATCTACAGCAGCTATTTTTGATGCATATTTTGAACATAGAATACATTACAGTTAGCACTCTAGTATTGTTATTATACCTCTATCGATGAAACATGCAAAAGGTGAAGGATACAGCACATTTTTTTAAATTTTTTAACAGCAGAGTGGCCTGCTCTGTCTATTAGGGCCACTATCCTGATCACCGACTCTGAGCACCTGGCTGCCTCTGGCAGGGCAAATGTGAAAACTGCTCCTTTGTTCGTGCCACCTACTGTAAGTAGAGGGCAGGATTGCACCAAGACAGAGGTGTGTAAGTCATCATGCTTTTTGTTTTAAAATTTGATGTAAAGCGAAGAGGCACTGCGCAGCATGCACTATATAAATGTAAATTGTTATTGTTATTGTTATTATTTATTTATTTATTAAGGTATAACACACAAAACAAAACAACAGCCAAAGGCTGAAAACATTTGTTTTCAGCCTCATCATCATTATTATTATTATTATTATGACCCACATGCAAGCATACAGTATGTGTTAAGCATTCAACTCCCATCCTTCCCAGGGAGTTGAATGGCTTAGTAGTTAAGATGCTTGCCTTCTATGTCCCCGACCATGGATTCAATTTCTGTGACAGCAGAACTCAAGTTACTGGCTGGTAAAACAAACAGAATGCTAGGAATTATTATGCTTACATCCCATAAGCCTTGTCCCAACTATCATACTATATTTGACAAAAACATATGACATGCCTAAATATGGTCATATGATATCACATGAACATATACAGGCATGCCATGACTATAATGAACATACAACAATTATTTGCGAAAGAAAATTTTATAAAGTGGACAAAGCTTACAGTCATTTATTAATTAGTAAGCACTATTTTGCCATTACTTATAATTACTCTGTTTACTCCCTTTGAATAAGAAAGGTACAGTACAGTACAACCTCTCTTTTGGGAAATCCTAGTAAGGGGACACATTTCAGCCATGAAATGAAAGAAAGTATATATTTTAACATTACAGCCAAATCTAATAGAATAGTATACAAATATTTACTGGGTTGAGGGGCACGGTTCAATAGCCCGAGGTGATCTGGAGGCTGTACTATGTCCCGAGACAAAGTCGACGGACATATTACAGCCTGCAGATCACCAAGGACTTTAATTTGAACTATGACCCGATTAAAATACCAGTAAATATTTGTTTTATATACAGTACCACTACATAAATTCCCTGTTCTTGAGTCGTGAAGAAGCCTAGGCTGGGGGCTAGCCCACTAGGCCTAGCTACAGGTAGTAGTAAAACTTCGCTAGCATTTCATCGAGGCCTGCATTTGATAACTCTGTAAATCACAGTTCAGCTTCAAGATACACTTCAAGTATTCGGATGGCATACTTAACTTGTTTTTTCATATTATCACTGGCTGCTGAACTCACTACACTTCTCACGTTCATCAACCAGTTTAAATCTGGAATACTCTCTCTTTGTATTCCTAGCCTACCTGAGTACAGTGTGCATCAGAGCCATCGTCAGCCGCTTCCAGGTCATCAAATTAGGTCAAATTTTATTAACTCAGTAGAAGCGTGCCCTCGTTGCCATGGTTCTGAGATAGGGTGTTTGCGTTACACCAAATTTCGTTACAAAGTACGTTGTTCTTTATTTTTCTAAAGAGAGGGCGCTTCTAATTGTTACGTGTATACGTAAAGTCATGCGGTGTACGCTATGGTCAAAGCAGTCAAAGTTTTCAGTTTTGCAAGAGGGCGCCGTACACTTCGTTATTACAAAATTTGCACGTGGAAATTGCGGAGAAAAATTATCTTGTGTTTATACGATCTTTGGCATAATTTTGTACATCGCAAATTGCGAGAGGGCAAAAGAAAAAGACTATTCCCTGCTAGCTGGGCAGGGCTGAAGCTATTGCCCGGCATTTAACAAATCAAATACTTGGAATCTATGTAGTCGGCAGATAAAATAGAATAGAAAATTTATATAGCGCCGGTATCTGCCAGATATGACACTCATGGCGCTTCTGCAAATGTCTTATCAAAACATCAATCAATTAAGGCACAATTCTATTATTGGGGCACTTTTTTGGTCCTATGAGTGTCACTTTAATTCAGGATAAGGTATGTATCCAATGTTATTCTCACCTGTCCTCTCATATTGTCTGGTCCAAATGCAGCCATTCTCAATACATGTTTCACACTGAGATGCCTCACAGATTGTGTTAATGCAATCAGCATGCGATGTAACAAGCCTTTCACTAACAGTACTTAACTTGCATTGATTTACTCGAGGACATTGTTGATTCAACTTCACACAGCTAGTTTCCGTGCAGTTCATGCACCATTGGCAAGTCTGAAAGAGTGACCACATGCATCATTATTGAACATGGTTCAATGGTTATGGCACTCAACCTCCAATTTCAGGATCTTGAGTTCAAATCCATAATAAAATGCAAGGATTTCTCTACTGAGTATAAATTATTTTTTACTACACTGTGTGTAAATTCCTCAAAGGTGTAAAGTTTAGGTTTCTATAAACATTTCATTTATCTCAAGTTGCACTAGGAATTGCACTGGCCTGATTTGCATCAGGTCTGGTCTGAAGGTAATGAATACAAGTGAGGCATTGCATATTTGGGGGTGGGGGTGAATGAATCTTATTTTCTAGGTAAATTTTGAAAATGTAAACTTTCTATATATTGGGTACATCCAGTTAAGTATTCATGAAATGGAATTAAATTTCTATATAATAAAAAGATTATTTTTCTCCAAAATAGACTGAATTTGTACTGACCTGAGCAGCATTAGCGTATGCAGGGAAGACAGCGAGACACTCGCTGCAAGACTCGGAATAATGACAGTCACGATTCACGACATGAGCTTCACATGTGACATCACCAGTTAAGAGAGTATTAAAGGACCCGGAACAACTGCAGAAACAAAGTAAATGTAGTAAACAAAACTTGAAATATCAAGTCTCAGCATATACATATATATAAACATATGTATTCTTCTATATTCTATTCTATATGTATTCTATAATTTCTTTACGGTGGGTGGATTTTCAAGTAAGAATGCTCAGAATAGGTCCATTATTATTGAACCTTTATCATACAAAATAAGTTCACCCTCTCATTAGAGACTACCTTTGGGACCTGAAAATTTAGGGTTTGTTCCCAAATTAGAATGTTAGTTTTGTATTAAAATATTAAGGATTGTTAGTTGATACTTAGAAAAAGTGGTCTAGAATTAGAATGGTCTTGGAATTAGAGGGTGCACTCTATCTGGTTTAGACAACATATTTTAAATGAAACTCACTTCATCTTCGCAGATGATGCACAATTTGATGTAATCTCGCCGCTGCTATTTGTAACACATGATGCACATCCTGGTACTTGAATACATTCATCTTTTTTATCATTGAAAATCGTACAAAGATCGTCAGGCAAATTAAATCTATAGAGGGCGCCACTTGTCACACCACTATAACCGCCATATATGTACGCCGTACTTGCAGAAGTTGCCACGGCGGCCATTGAGAATGCTGGCAGTGGTGAGCGTCCAACAGTAAAGTCTAAATAATTTAAAATTTAAATCAATATACATGAATAGGTAAAGGTGTAGTTATTTGGTTATATTATTTTTTAAAATAAGAAAACTGAATTGCTTAAAATATTGTTAATGCAGATAAATTACAGCTGAAAAATTTAAAATAGTAATAACATGTATACATTAAAATAATCACCATTAAATACACTTCCCTCTACCCAGTGTGGAATGATCTATATAATATAAACAAATAAAAAATGAATATTAATGATCAAGGAAACTTACTATTCTGTGTCAGATTAAACCATACATTACAGTAGTAATCGTATGCCATCAGAGTGCTGGAGACATTGTGTTCCTCAGTGGCACCGCCAATCACCACCATATAATCACCCATGTTGAGAGCAGAGTGGAACACATGTGAGAAAGGCTGAGACAGACAAAAGCAACTATTTCATCACGTATCAAGTATAATACCAATCAATCAATCATCAATCAATCAAACTTCATTCATTAGCATTTAATGCCAATGTGTATTTAACTAGATTTCTATTATGCAAACTCAAACGGCAAGTAAGCTTAACTTGTATCAGGTACCGCGCTACATTATATATACAACAATTTGTAATGAAAGTTGCATAAGTAAGTTTTATATTATTAAATCTAATGTTTGAAATATTGCAGAATGGTGATATTTTTCTGTACTTACAGCGTTACTTGATTCTATTGGTAAAATACTCCAACTGGACAGGCTGGGGCGCAATGTAAACAGTTTATTTGAAGCATACACTAGGTCTAGACTGAATCGGTAGCCTCCAAATACATAGAGGGCGGCAGTTCCTTCATGGTATACAGTTGAATGTCCGTATATCCCTATGAAGGTGAAAATAGATTTTGAACACAGTGCTGTTAGTATAAAATACGAGAAGTGCCATTACAAAACCAGTATCACTGACCAAAAAATGAAAACGGACTCAATATATTTTTATCCTCGACATTATAAGCTTTAAAATGATGGGTGATTTTAATACCGTAATCAACTTATTATTGCCAAAGTTACGAGTAATAGTTTAAGGGCTTCTCTGAATTTAAGTATACATTACTGCCACATTATTATGCTAATCTCTCAGTTTAACAATTATCGATGATACACTGTGGAATAGCAAGCCTCATATTATTTTTAGTTTAAAATTAAAGATATATGTAAATTAATATACGAAAAAAAATTCCATCATTTAATTTACTTATTTTATTGTTTAGGAGACACGGTTAATTTTTTTTGGTTGATTTACCAACTTAAAAACATCTGAAAATTGATCACAAGTTAAAAAATAAAGGTACCGTATTATTTATATGTCGTCTACTAATAATATCTTTTAAAAATGAAACTATTAAACAAATGTTAATGCCATTTATAGGAAATGCAGGGAGACTCGATTTTTTACCTGTTGGAGGTGTGCCTTGACTGGTTCTCTTTTCCCATTCACCTGTCGGGATGTCATAAACCAAAAAATTTGAAAGAAACCCTCTATCAGGTGAGTATCCTCCAATGAGAAACAGCTTATCATCAATGACAGTCAGGGTGTGGCCAGCAAGAGGTGGTACAATATTATGAGACACCTTAAAGAGGGTAGGAAGACTATATTGTAAATTGCAGTATAAATGGCAGGGGTTGCTTTAAGCATTATGGATAACAAACCACTGTTTTAATAAATATTTAAGCCATCGAAAAATACAAGTGGTGATGAAAACAGCCAAAAGTACTACAGCATATATGCATTACTCGTAAACACTATCCATTTAATGAACTCTCAATTTAAAGATGTACAATATTTTCCCCTGAAAATTATGAACAATCATAAAAAATGATTTTGAAATTAACTTGCTCATTTTGCAGTAACATACAAAGTGTATAAGCTTGAGCATAGACATTATTGAATTCTAACAAAATGTGTACCCTGATTTTCAAACTGGATAATGATAACAATTTTTTTTTTTAATCTGTCATTTTTCACTGTAAAATTATGGGTAAACAATTTGTAAATACACTAATTTTTATGATCAATTTGATAATTTTTATGTTAAGAGCAAGTTAATTTCAAAAATGATTTTTTATGATTTTTAAATTTTTTTTATTGGACAATACACCTTAGAATGTTAAAATTCCTCAGGAGGTCATGGGTTCAATTACAATTGAAATCACGTGTGATTTTATTCCCAAGTATTAGGGGAATGTACTGAGTATTCAGTGCAATAAAAATATTAGACTTGAAAGGTTTCAGAATATCAATTAGAGTCCTTCTTCAGGTGCTAAATATTATACATTTGTGACTCCAATCATCTACTGAGTACTACAGGTTAATCTTCCTCTCTTGTATAGCCACACCACCACTAGTTCAATATCTTATCAAGTAGATGAAACATACCTGGAGTTCTGTCCAAATATTCTGTTTGATATCATATTTCCAGAAATCACTTAAAACACCTGAGTCAGCGATCCCACCAGAGATATAGAGAATATCAGATGAGTAGGCTGCAGCATGGAAGTGCCTTGCACTTGGGGTAGTAAGCTGGTTATTGCCTACCTTGCTCCAACTAAAACTTGTAAGGTTATATCTGAAAGAATACATCAACAATTATTTTAAATATAAGTGATATTAAAAATGATTTAACAATAATAAAAAACATTAAAACAGAAAACATGTATACACAAAATGTATTTTTTTTCAAATACAGCTTATTATTTTAAAGTTTTCACCAGGTCCCTTTGGGGCTTAGGCCCTGGGACACTTTCCCCACCTCAGCGGTAGTTGGTATAAAAGAAATTAACTTACTTCCATAAAGAATTGACAGAACCATCTTGAAATGAGTAGCCACCAAATAAGATTAATGAATCACCTGCCCCATTGACCACAATACTATGACCCATCACCCCTGATGGGAACAGGTCATCAACAGAGGGTGTATTGATACTGGGGTCAAACAATGTTGACCAGGTAACAAAACTTGCAGTTAGGCTCTCGACGCAGCCTTCTCCACCAAAACCATCAATGCAAACACACAAACTCAGGTCCTAAACAAATAAAATGTTCGGAATTTATAAACATTATAAAATAAATTTAGTTAATTCAATTATTTATTGCTAGAAGAGCCATCGAGGGCAATTATCTGCAATCACAAATTCACAATCACAAAACAATCAAAACATCAATTACCGTAAAACAAGAAATGCCATCTTCTAAAGCTAGTAAAATTAAGTAAACTTAAAAATTAAGAGCTGCCTTAATGTCTGAAAGAGTGATATTAGCAGGATCAATGGCAGGTCATAAGCTAGACTAAGAGTGTGTACATACAGGACTAAAATTAGGCATACCTCATTGCATGTTCCTTGACCACGACTGTAGCTGCAGTTCAAAGGGCAAATTTCTAGGTCACAGTTGACACCAGCAAACCCATCCTGACATATGCATGTATTATTGACACATTGTTTATTGCCATCACAACCCGACAGGCAGTCATTTACAGTAAAAATGGCATTGAAACCACTAGATTGTGAGCTTGTATCTGCCTGAAACATCACAGTCATAACACCTGGAAATAATTAAACAAAACTGAATAAAAACAGGTGTACAAAATTAAATTAGAACAAACCAAACCTTAAATATCATACCATTATTTGCATACATATCTGCAGGATACAAGCCTGGTTCTCACGAGAGCCCTAGTATCCGGATCGGGAGCTAACCGTTAGCGCTAACCGTTAGCACCTGCGTGAGAACGCCTGATCGGATACGCTAACGGTTAGCAAGTGCTATTGGTTAGCAAGTTGAGGGTGTTTCTATCATCAACCAATCACACGTACGCGTTTACAATTTCCAGTTTCTTATTGGCCAGTGATTCGATCATCATATTCTTGGTATCCGGATCCGGATTTTCTCGCATGGATGCACGGCAGCTAACGGTTAGCAGGATCCGGATCCTGCTAACCGTTAGCTGCCGTGTGAGAACATAGCCATATACAAGATCAAGAACCTAAGCATTACTTCATTCATAACACCTGGAAAGATTAAACATTATGTTAATAATACCAGGCGTTCATATTAGAAGATTAATCCTGAATATTTATGTCCACATTTTTGTCTCATGCATAATATTTTTCCAGTCCAAAATGCATATATTCATATGCTGCAATCCATCTCATGTATATTTACTTTTATCATGCATGTAATTCATTTCATACACAAATAATGAGAACACTGTGAATTAACCTGTAAATTTTGGTTAGCTGATCTTTCTATTTGATGTCTCATCTAAAAGATTTAAAATATAATGAAGCAAAGAAATATAAAAATACAGATATATTTAGAATAAAACAAGTTTACATCTTCATGTGAACTGTAGTTTGTCTCCTCTTAAAATCATGTTTTTTTTTTCAGAAATACCATTAAAGATACAGAAACATACTGCATGGTGTTATTACAGTACATCACAACATGTATAAATACTTATCATCAAGAGTAGAAACATTTTCAAGAACAGACTCTAGAGGGCTCAGGCATGTAAATGCTCACCTGATGTTGCCTGAACACATGTCTGTTTTTCTAGTGTGTTAGCTTCACAGAAACTTGCAAGATGGAGAAAACTATAAGATGAACTATTGGTGATAAAGCTTGGAAGACCATCATAGACATAAACATAGTCACGCTGTAGAAAGGAAGGAGAGGAATGAAGAATTCTAAATCACTCAAAGAGACTTGACATTGTAATATTACTGAATGATCAAACAGAAGAGTCACGGCACTTAAAAAGTTGGCTTCAGTTCAGTTATTCAAGAAATGTGATTAATCAATATGTAACACTTAAGCCCTGTCCAGACTATCAAATTTTATTTGACAAAAACATGTGACATGCCTATATATGGTCATGATGACATCACATCATGACCAAATATAGGCACATCATGACTATATATGGGCATACAACAGTTTTTTGTCAAAGAAAATTTGATATTGTGGACAGAGCTCTAGTATGGAGAGTGGAAAGCCCTGTCCAACCTATAAAATTTTATTTGACAAAAACATGTGACACGTCTAAATATGGTCATGATGACATCACATCATGACCATATACATGTATAGGCACATCATCACTATATACGAGTACACAACAGTTTTTTGTCTAAGAAAAAATGAAAACTTAGATAATCTAAGCTTAGTGAATAAAAAATCATATTTCGTGAACCAATTACAGTAATATTGTTATAGTCATCAATAATTATCACACAGTAAGAGTAGATATTACAAAATAATAATAATAATGATATTAATAATGTTATGTTGTTAGCAATCTTTTAATTTCAAAAAAATTTTCTTGTGCACAATGAGGATTGAAATAAAGTACTGATGATTTTTTTTTCTTATTAACGAGCGTCTCTCATTTTTTCATCAGTATTTGGGAAATATACTGTGTATTCGGTAAGATAACATGTCAGGTAGGGCAAAACATCACTCCTGTGATATTGTACTGTGTATTCGGTAAGATAACATGTCAGGTAGGGCAAAACATCACTCCTGTGATATTTTTCTGGCGCAAACTCACATCAAAATATCTGTCACTTAGCTCTCCAAATTTCGAAACATACCACAGTAGGTTTTGTTCTTATCTGAGCTTGTAATTTATTGCCTTGCACCTCTGTGATCCAGGTCTGACATAGGCCTGTAAGTTTTTTGTCTCATTTATTTCATAATATATTTTTATGTCTTATTGAAAAAAGTGTGATATGATATCATCACGCCTAAATATGGATGTGATGCGACATCATCATGCCCATATATGGGTAATTCACTCATATTTTGTCACAAGAATTTGATAATGTGGATAAAGTTTTACATACCCCACACATCAATGATATATCCTCTACACAGAGTGTTATACTAGGAACAGATGTCAAAGGTGAAGGGTTCAAGAGGTCATCAAATACTGTCAGGATCCATGTACAATATGTTTGAGCTGGTGTTGCTGCTCCATCTCCTTCATGAGATCCCAATGCAGATGATGTCAGGTCAGTTACTACAAGTTTCTCAAAACACTTCATATAACATCTACCTCCATTCCTGCAGAAGAAAGTAGTAATATTAGGAGATAACAATATTAACAGCTATAATCATGCCTTATCATTTAAAATATATCAACTGAAAATATCAGTTCATAAAATCAGTGAGAGAATATTATTTATCAGGCACATAAGTAAAATATTGCAATTTTGTATAATGTACGCATTTCTCCCATTTCTCTATCAAAATGTAAACATATTAGTGTACGCCTTTATTTTTATTTTATGAATCACCAGTATTTATCTATGTAAGTGAAACAAGACTTGATTAGCTTTATGCTATTTTTTGGTTTCCTAAATTTGCCTATTACCATGTTCTGTATTCTATGTGAAAAAAGGCAAATAAGGAAAGAAAGAAAGAATATTTATAGTAACAATAATATTCAAGACCAACCAAGACAACAAAAAAAAAAAAATTAAGAATATTAAAAATAAAAAATATCAATAACAATAACAAACGAAAATTACAATGAAAATACTGTTTAAAGATATTGGTAGTAACAAAATTACTGTACCCAAATTAAAGTAATTTCTTAAATAAAGCAACAGAAGCACAATATTTAATGTATTAGGAAATAAAATTCTTCTTCAGAAAAAAAAAATGGTCTACAGTGTTTGAACATTACTTCTGGAGGCCATGGGGACAACAGAAAGCAAAAACAAATTATTTGATGATCTGATATAAAAAATTGTGTTTTTAGAAATCAAGATTGTCTCACCTGGGATCGCCATAGTAACCATCAATACACTCTTCACAGTTATCCCCTTTTGTATACCCCGTACAGAAGCAGACGCCAGTGGTGTTATCACAATAGCTCTTATCAGGATCTCCATGGCCATTGCACATGCAGTCATGGCAGCCAAGTTGAGTGGTGGCTTCACCATAACTACCAGGCACACACAGCTCACAATACTCACCCATTGTCCAATCTACCAATGACAAGCGTAGAAAAATTTGAAATCTAACTTCGATACAGCATACTGTA